GACATTTAATTTCATTCATTAATTTCATTTTGATTGTTGTTGTTGATGTTGTGGTTATTACCTTGATTACCAAGTCCAAATGCTGGTACTGTTCCCTGCTGATGGGTTTCAGGAGTTGAAGCTCAGCTGTGGTTTGATTCAAGGAGAAATACTCTGCATATGACGCAGGTTTGCCTAGAAAAACAGAAGGTTAGAGAATCAATGAAGGGACGCATAAGACGAACGACTTGCATTCAAGAGTTCGACACTGAACAAAATAACTCACCGGGGCACCATGATTTTGAGGCGTATTCAGTAGCGTATTCATTTTCATAGACATACTTCAAACAGAAAGGCAAATTAAAACCACTAATGCACTTCCTCTATAAATAGCGGCACACAATATCGAGTGCTTTGTTGATAGTTAAAAGCATACGGCTGCTGTCATATCGAGCCGCACATACAATATGTTCGGACATATCCCTGACTGGAGGTCTAACCATTCCGGTGGTGCACTTTAGTTCCTCGGCTCAGGTCGCGAGCAGCGTGGTTCCCTGAGCCCGCTGCTGCGCTTCCAGGTTTCATCTCAAAGCACAGTGGGTGGGCGCACCTTGCCCGCGGCATAAATGCATTTGACTCCAGCTGAATTTCCGACCCGCCGTTCCGCTTTGCCTCTCCTGGAATACCACTGTTTCCTGCACAGTGTGGCCTTGTATGCCGGTAGTGACTCAATATAGAGTACAGAGAGCCTGATGGAAACCTACCGATGAGAATGGAGTACAGGATTCCCGGGCGGTCTGACGGAGGCTGGATGTTTCTGTCTTGATCCACAGCTTGAATGGGAGGAGTCACGTTGACAGGGTTTACTCGGCCCTGGAAAAGAGACATGGAGAAGACATTATTTACACTGAGAGAGAAAAAAAACTTTCTGAAAATGTTGATTTGGAAAAACAAGAAATTGTGTAAATGTAATGACTTGATAAACATGCAGGTAACAACAAAAAAAAACTATGACAACATGTGAGTGTACATCTTAATCTTTACTTAAATTTAAACAGTTAAGTAAATATTTAATATTTAAAGAACTGCTCCGGGGGTGTGTGTTCATGGTGTGTGTGTGTGTGTGCACTTGGATGGGTTAAATGCAGACCACAAATTCCGAGTATGGGTCACCATACTTGTCCACACTTCCCTTTACTTCACTTAACTTCACTTAATTTCCTTTTTATTTTATTTTTT